GGGGATTCGAACCCGCCACCTTAGGTGTACGTGGCTGGTGCCTTAGCCACTTGAGCCACAGGCACCGAGCCACACTAGTATTGAGTATATGTATATTTATGAATGAAATACTTATTAGCTATAGAGCTATTTATTACACAGTTTTTAGGAATGTATCAAAAATTAAAATGGGGACTTCCTTAATCTCAGCTACTTCGGAGGCTGAGGCAGCAGAATTGCTTAAGCCCAAGAGTTAGAGGTTGCCGTGAGCTGTGATGCCATGGCATTCTACTCAGGGCAACAGCCTGAGAGTCTGTCTCAAAAAAAAAAAAAAAAAAGAAAGGGGACTTCCTGTAGTAATAAGTCAGGCAAGTCCCTAGTACTTTCTTCCTGACTCCAGTTTTTGTTAGTTCTATTTTAATCACCTCTGTTCCATGCACCAAATACCATTTCTATCAGGCCCAGAACCTTGACTTCGTAGGCCTCAGCTTCCTCATTTATAAAAGAGGATGAGTAGGCCAGGTATGATGGCTCACACCTGTAACTTGGGCACCCTGGAAGGCTGAGGCAGGAGGATCACTGGAGCTCAGGAGTGCTTTGGTGCTTCAGAAAATATTAAACATGTATATGGAAAATTAAAATGTAATAATGATGATGATAATGTTTAGTTGGTGCTGTCATTATGTCAAGCACTGTGCTTTATATCTATCATCTCATTTGAACTTTACAAAAATTCCATGAAATTTTAAAATTATTTTCATTGCAGCTGTTACAACATGAATTTCAACTGAAACAATGGAAAGATAAGTTAAAATTAAAAATTGCTACTATAGATATATTCTTATCTTTGGACAAAAGCACTTCTAAAATTCCTTTTGAAGATGGCACTCAAGAATTTGACATTTCACAGTTACCTGACAGAGCAATAGCACAGGTTTGTATGAATTCTGTATGTATTACATAATATAATCTTGCTCTTTATGTATTACATGGGGTTAGGATAAGGATATTTTTGCCCATTATTTCCTTCTTTAGAAATTATCTGCTCATATTTTGTCTGTTCTTTAATTGTAATTTCTACAATTTTCTTACTGATTCATACTAGGTCTTTATTTATCGACAGTATTAGCCCTTTGTCAGGGATATATTTGGAGATTTTTTCCCCCCACACTTAATGTTTGCTTTCAGTTTTGCCTGTGGAGTCTTTGGATAATAGAAATTTAAAAATTTTATGCAATAAAGTCTATTATTGTTGCCCTAATTATTTGTTTTTATGTCATATTAAAACTATTAATATGTCATTCTTAGTTGTTTTTCTAAATTGCACCACACATTTCCTACACCTATGCAGCTGATATTTTTTCCCCCTGTGAATCCCTATGCTTTTGACTGCAAATTTTCCTTTATCTACTTTATCACTGGCTGGTCTAGGGGTTATCCTTATGATATTGCATATAACCTACAAATAATTTTATGCCACTTTACATATAAGAACATAAAGTATGACTTAATTTTCTCTGTCCTTTGCTTTTTTCTATTATCGGTATACATTTTGTTTCTATACATTTATAAACTCTGGGCTCGGTGCCTGTGGCTCAAGTGGCTAAAGCGCCCACCACATACACCTAAGGTGGCAGGTTTGAATCCAGCCTGGGCCCGCCAAAACAACAATGATGGCTGTAACCAAAAAATAGCCAGGCGTTGTGGCGGGCGCCTGTGGTCCCAGCTACTTGGGAGGCTGAGGCAGGAGACTCGCTTGAGCCCAGGGGTTGGAGGTTGCTGTAGCAGTGATGCCACAGCACTCTACCCAGGGGGATAGCTTGAGGCTCTGTCTCAAAAAAAAAAATTTATAAACTCTGATATAATTTGTTGTTTTTGCTTTAACTAGCCAATAATATTTTATCTAGCATGTATAATTTATTTTTGACATTCTCAAAGTTATATAAAAGTTGTAAGTACAGGATGAAGACTTTTTCTTGAACAATTTGAAAATTGCCACTGTGATGCCTCATCACCCGTGAATAATGTTGATGTATTTACTATAAACCAGGGCATTTTTATTACAGTCAACTATCAAAATCCCCCAAATTCAGGTTTCTTCAGTGGTTCGAATAACGTTTTAGCCAAAGGACCCAGTCTAGATCACATGACGCAATTGGTTATCACATCTCCTTAATCTCCTTCAGTCTGGAACAGTTTCTTCGTGTTTCTTTAATTTTCATGACCTTGATATGAAGATTCGTGAAGTTTTATTGTAGAATATCTCTCAGTTTGGGCTTGTTTTATGTTTCATGTTATGCATTTTTTGTTAGAAAGACTAAAGCCATGGTTCTGCTGTGTTCTTCTCATTGTGTCCTCTCTATAGCATAGGATTTGGATTTGGGCAGATGTCCTCTTCTTGGGCTCCTGGATGTCTAGGATTATGTTCCTTGATTTATAAAGCATATATCAAAATATTATTATATAAGCGTATATAAAATATTTATCAAGTGAATGAATATATCATTTTAATAAATTACTGAATTGATTGAAGGAGTGATATCACCACACTGGCAGAATAGAATAGAAGCAATTTGGCTTTACTCTCCCCCGTAGAAAGCCAGCACCAAGATTATCACAAGCGATATTCTAGAACTCAGATTTAAGGCTGAGTTGATCCTTGAAGCTATAAAGAAATGAAAAACTCCAAGTGGGTAGTAAAAGAAGCAGACTTTTCTATTTGTGATGCCCTTCTTCCAGTCTAAAAGGTACCACGTGGTAAATTCTATCCAGACTTATGGTTTTTACACTGGAAAAAGTGAGATTGCAGCAGACAGCCAGCTTCTCTCTCATCTTGGGTTCCTTCATAGGAAAATCATTCTGGCTAAGGGACTGGAAGCATCACAGGAAGCATCACGAAGGCTTATATGAGAAATACTCCTGAGAATAGTTAAGGACAGAAAGGTGGGACCCGCAACCCCAGCCTATGAAATTCTGTTCTTTACTCAGCTAAAGAAAACACCAAATTGGAGTGGTTGTTTAAAAGAACCACTCTATAGTAGGCACACACCATCGGTCCTCTGCTTTCCCACACAGCAGGGGTATCCCCTTTGTGATACCCCCCAAACACACTATCTGGAATGGGCAACATTCTGGATGTTTGTGAGAACCAAGGCAAAGCTAGGTTTAAGGCAACATCTAGTGATAAGAAAGTGGTAGCAATCTAGGATTAAGGGGACTCAATAGGAAAACTATAAATAACACATCTAAGCAAATACCCTAGAAAGACCAAAACAAGCCAGATAATGAAAACTAGAATAAATAATCCTTCAATGTGAAGCCATAGATGTATGTCCACAAGGAATAACAGGAAACAAGGAACCATGACCTTCCCAAACAGATAAAGCAAGGAGGTAGTAACTGACATTAATGATGGTGATATGTGAATGAGCTCTCAGATTGAGAATTCAAAAGCAGTGGCAAGGAAACTCAGCAAACTCCAAGATAGCACACAAAAGCAATTTATAAATTTATCAGAGAAATTTAACAAAGATTTTGAAATAATTATAACCCCCCCAATCCTGAAACTAAGAAATATATTTGTTAAAATAAAAAATGCATTAGGAGCTTACAGTAGTAGAATAGATAAAGCAGAAGGAAAAGAATCAGTGACCTTAAAGACAGGCTAACAGTCAGAGGGGGAAACAAATGAAAAGGATTGAGGAATGCCTATGAGATATAGAGATTAGCCTCAAAAGAGCAAACCTCTTTTTGAGGGGTTACAGTGAGCTACAATGATGCCACTGCATTCCATCTGGGAAGACAGACACTCTGTCTCAAAAATAAGAAAAAGAAAAAAGGGAAAGATTTCAAATAAACAATCTAATGGTATACCTCAAGGAATCAGAAAAGGAAGAATAAACCAAACCAAAACTGAGTGGAAGGAAAGAACTAATAAAGTTTAGGGCAAAATAAATGAAATTGAGAGCAAAAGCAAAACAATACAAAAAATCAACAAAACGAAAAATAAGTTTTTTAAAAGATAAACAGTATTGGGTAGTACCTGTGGCTCAAAGGAGTTGGGTGTCGGCCCCATATGTCGGAGGTGGGGGTTCAAACCCAGCCCCGGCCAAAAAAATGCAAAAAAAGAAATAAAACAGATAAACAGTATCAATAAACCTTAAGCTAAACTAAGGAAAAAAAAAAGACTCAAATAAATAAAATGAGAAATGAAAAAAAGAAGGTATTACAACTAATACCACAGAAATACAAAGGATCATCAGAGACTATGATATAGTTATATGCCAACAAATTAAAAAACCTGGATAAATTCCTCGATGCACCAAGATTGAACCACAAAGTAATAGAAAACCTGAACAAACCAATAATGAACAATGAGATTAAAGCAGTGATAAAAAGTCTCCCATCAAAGAGAAGCCCAGGACTTGATGGCATCACTGCTGAATTGTACCAAAGATTTAAAGAATTAATACCAGTTCTACTGAAACTATTTCAGAATTCCAAAATCCTTGATTAACATTGATGCAAATATGCTCAGCAAAAATACTGGCAAACCAAATACAACAACATAGTAAAAAGGTGATTCACTGTGATCAAGAGTGATTCATATTAGGGAGGTGAAGATGGTTCAACTGCACAAATCAATAAATGTAATGCATTACATTAACAAAATCAAGTACAAAAATATGTATCATTTCAATAACTTCTAAAAAAGCATTCAATAAGACTTAACATCCTTTTATGATAAAAATTCTCAACAAATTGGGTATAGAAGGAGCATACCTTAAAATAATATAAGGCATATATGACATATCCACATGTAACATTTTACCAAACAGGGAAAAATTGAAAGCCTTTTCTTAGTGATATGGAACAAGATAACAATGTCCACTTGTATCCCATTTATTTAAAATAGTACTGGTAGTACTGGAAGTCCTTGCCCAGAGAAACTAGGCAAGAGAAAGAAATAAAAGGCATCCACATTGTAAAGGAAGACGTCATTATTTGTTCACAGAATACATGATACTATATTTAGAAAAACCTAAACTCCACCAAAAACCTCTTAGGGTTGGTACATTTAGTAAAGGTACAAGGTACAAAATAAGCATACTAAAATCAGTAGCACTTGCCAATAGCAAACAATCTGAAAAAGAAATTAAGAAAGCAATCTCAATTTATTAAATTGTAGTTGTGTACATTAATGCAATCATGGGGTACAATGTGCTGGTTTTATATACAATTTGAAATGTTTTCATCAAACTGGTTAACATAGCCTTCATGGCATTTTCTTAGTTACTGTGTTGAGACATTTATATTCTACACCTAGTGAATTTCACATGTACCCTTGTAAGATGCACCATAGATGTGGAATAAATTTAGGAATAAATTTAACCAAAGAAACAAACTATCTGTACAAGAAAAACTATGAAACACTGATGAAAGAAATTGAAGAGGAGACAGACAAAGAAGGAAAGAAATCCCCCACTATGGAACAAAAAAGAAGAAGAAGAAAAAAAGAAAATAGTGACTAATTCTCACATAAATTGGATTCGATTTTGACTAAAGTACATTACTTTAACATTAATTTTTACTTCAACTTGTTAGTGTGTTGTTTAGGATACAGGATACTGCATCCTCATTTAAAAGTGAATTACGTTTGTAATTTCCCTTTATAATAATATATTTTTTCCAATTTTAATATCGGGTCTATCCAGATTAAGCAGAATGATTTTGAAGTATTTCTTCTTTTTCCATTGTCTATAAGATGCAGCATGATCTGTTTTTTTGAAATTATCTTTTATTTTTATTTATAAATATTAGTTGTCTATTTTTTGAGACTTTGGAAAAAAAATAATAAGAAGTTAAGTGATGACTCTATACTGAACCTCAGAGTCAAAGCATTCTGTAATAGTCATACTCTTATTTGACAATATA